GCTTTGCCCTTTGCCTGGGCTTTGCCCTTTGCCTGGGCTTTGCCCTTTGCCTGGGCTTTGTCCTTTGCCTGGGCTTTGCTGGCATTGTTGGATCGTGCTGCAGGTTGGCTCTTGGGTTTGCTCTTTGGTTTGGCATTCAATGCCGCTGAGGCTGCTGGGGGTTCCTTTTTCTCATCGATGGGATGCACAAGCACACCAAGAGTGGCACCCCCACCACCAGTGGCACCCTCAACCACAGGTTCCGTGCCATCTGCAGGCACAACCACAGGTTCCCCACCATTTGAAGTTGCATCCTCCACAGGTCCAATGACCACAGGATCCTCGACATAGGTGCCTTGCTCAGACACCACCATGGCTGCAGCATTACCTTCATTGCCTGCACCAGCCTCCACCATGTCTGTCTTGCGCACGTCGGCGGGGGCAGTTGCATCACCAACAGGTGGTGGTGGTGGTGGCGGCGTTGATCGAACCAGATCAGGGCCTTCATGGGTATTCAGGTTCAACTCTTCAAAGAAGCCCAGCATGCGGTGAAAGCCTGTTTCCTCATGGCTCGGTAGAGACTGCAATGCTGTGGAGATTTCACCATCTGTGGGTTCCTGCCGGGTGTGGGCAGAATCTCAGACAAGACCTTTGGCAGTGTTATTTTGCTACAAGAAAGCATATCGCGTATAATGTTTGATCATATGTTTAAACTTTTTGTAGCGTGCCGTGTGGTGGAGCATGCAGTTGCATGGAAACACATTGTGACAATGCACACACACATGCAATCTAATGCACACATTCTGTTTGCATAACTGTTGGCTTGCACTGAACTTGTGCAATCTGACGCCAAGGACTTTGCATGGCATTGGTTTGGCCTCATCCGCTTTGTCAAGGCCAGGGAAGTCTTCATGGGCAAGAGATCGACGAAGCCGCTTCTTCATAGGAGTTGGGGTGGCCTAAGGTAAGCACAGAGGAACTACCATGAACTACCTGCTCATGGAATTCCACAGTGAAATCAATTTTCCAAAGTATAAGCTTGCAAACTTGCAAGCGTCTCAAAGTTGCAAAGTTAGGCGCTTTCAAGGCGTGTTCAAGACCAAGTTGGTTGTCACACCACTCCTCATCTTCTGGAATCGTATTGAGAGCATACCAGTTTGAAGGATCATCCCATGGCCTGGGATGATTACAGGGTAACTACAGGTCAAAAGATGTCAAAAGATCAACAACAGATTGAAACTGAAGAGCACCAATATTGCCAAGTGACATGACAGGGAGCAGTTGTGCATCTGAACCTTTATCCAATTCATCCACCCTGAGAGAGAACAAATGCACTGTAGACCACTGAGTTCAAATAGCTGTTTTCCAATCATGTATGGCATGCAAACAAAGCGCGTATCCAAGTATGTATCCGCAATCTCCATCTCCAGTGAATCAGCAAAAGAGTGCATTTCCTGTCAAGCAGCAAATCGTTAGAGTGACTGAAGCAAAACATGTAAAACAATTCGCTGCAAAACATATGCATCCGTTTTCCTTACCTTTGTCTAAGACATGCAACACAGTGGTCCTCTTTGTTTCCAGTTTGCGCTTTAGATTTTGAAGAGGCAGGTTTCTTTTGGCTCCCACCAGACCCCCTGGCTGATGGCCGCTTTTTGAGTTGGAGATCCAGCAATCTCTCCAACCCTGCCAGGTCCGGTTCATCATCATCATCTTCGTTGCCAGAACCAAGGCCCAAGGGATCCAATTCTGCATCGGGGGCCTCTTCTTCAGTTTTCTTTCCCTTTCCAAGTTTTTTGGCTTTGGGCTTTTTCTTTGGCACAAGATCTCTCTTTGGATTTTCTGACGAAGAATCCTCCGCTGAAGACCCAAACCGCGGTGGGAGCTCATGGGAACCTGGTGGAGCTTGAGCTGCACCTGTCGATCAACCCAGATGCTGATCAACCCTTAAAACATACTTTTTCGTTCGCCCTGATTGTAGAAGAGTAGAAGCTGGTTCTAGAGTGCAAGATTGTCCTGGCCTCTTGCTGAAGTAGCTGCAGTTGATTGCACAACACCTGCAGGTGGATTCGGAGTGCGAGCTGCTGATGATGTCCCAGGCGGCGATGCCACTGATGCCATGCCACGGTTTGGCGTAGTAGTTCCCAGCATTGTACCCAGATTAAAGGCCTCAGTGCAAAACTATAAGAAGGTCTCTTTTAAAGAGAACGTGTCTGACTTTTTTGCACAAATTCAACTAGGAGGCTGGTGGGCGCCAATAGTTTTCCGATACAATCTCCACAGAATCATGCTCATCATGACCAGGCCCTGAAACAGTTCCCCTTTTTGGAGGCATTGTGGAACCAAGGTGCGCAGCTATTGTAAAAACAACTACTTTGAGCCACCTTGTTTGGCAAGGTGAGGGAAGGACATGCCAAGCAACTCCAAAGAAGACATCTTGCAAGACATCTTGGATGACTGCATCTCCCATGAAACTTGTTTGTTTGTCGCCTCTTTGGTGATTCTTGCTCTCAAGAGTCCATGGTTTACCATGCGATCCAGGTGATCACTTCAAAATCACACTGCAAGCCGTGCTTTCGATGGCTTCGTGTTATGAAATGGCCTACAAAGTGTACAAAGGAGATTTGTTCAACATAAATATCATAAAGGTTATTCTATTATGAAGATATATATTTCTATGAGGCACCTATTTCTTCAAAATGCTGAAGCTTTGAAACCCCAAGAAAGACTCCCTTGGCAAAGCAGTGCTTTGTTGAGAACCTACATGAGCTGGGCTACCCCAGCTTCCAAATCAAGTGAACCGCTCAAACATGCTACCGGGCGAACAGGGACCAGGAGCTTTGCCCCAGTTGAGGCACAGGTGTCCAGCCTGCCAGAAGGGTGCAAGCACAGGCTTAAACCTCATTACTCCATGGCATTAGGTGTGTAAAAGAATTAAACAATAAAAGAGAACACCTCCAGGCTATCCCCACCAAGAATGTTCCAAACCGGTTTTTTTGAGGGCCACACCCAACATAAGGTAACTTGCTTGAAACGGCTACCTGGCCTGCATCGCCATGCCAAAGAAAACTTGTCATTGTTCTTGAAGGAACTGATGTTCAGAGCACTGCCAAAACTCACATGTGTTGCATTCCCCTTATCCTTCTTTTTCTTTTTCTTCTTTTTCCCTTCGTCCTCTCCATCTTTGGGGGCATCCAAGGCAAAAGCCAAGGTCTTGTCCATCACCAACTGGTCATGCGCATCATTCAGGGTGTGGTGGGACACCCCAAGCTTGACCTGAAGGGTTTGGTTGGTCAAAATTCAGTTCAGGTCCTCAGCTCAATGGCACTATAGATTCCAGAAGGTTGGTGTATAACATGGTTTCATTGTTGCATGTTGTGGTTCTTGCCGGAATACTGTTGCCATTTATTCAAATGTGATGTGTCAAAAAAGTCACTGTGAAGATCTGTAGATCCTTTTTTGGATGAGGTAATTAGGTCCATTCAGAAACACTATTTCCACACAGGGCAAGCCTCCCCAGCATCTTCGAGACCCCGCACAACCACATTCAAGGGTGTGGGGACTTCCACAAAGCTGAGTCCAGTAAGGTGGCTGGATAAATGTTTCCTCTCCATAAGGATGAGCGAGGTGAGGTCCAAGTTGAAGCGGAACCATCTGCCATGCGGGCACTGATCAGCTCATCAGCTTCCTTAGCCAAACAGCAGCAGCCAGGCACTGAAGTCAAGTGGAAAGTGAAGGAAGGCTTCAAGGCCAGCCAAGAGTCTGGTCCATTTCGCCACTCTCCACTTCCAAAGGAGAACCTCCAGCATCAAAGCAATGCCACACCATACAAGAGTTGACTCAGAGCTCCACCAATGTCTAAAAGCAACCTAGAGGCATCTCTTTGCTCATGGGAAAGTTGATTCGTGAGCGGGTGCTGATGAAGAGCTTTTCACCATCAGTGATGAACTCTGCAGCCCCATTGATGACAAGTCTAGTCCTGGGATGACATTGGGGTGACAACAAAAACAATATCATTGGACACTACCTTTCTTCTGGAATAATGTTTTATCAAGCTGAAATTGCTGCCAGGTCACGGGTTTGACAGTGATGCCACATCAGCCTCTGTGCAGGCAGTGTTGGTGGCCATCCTGATCTTTTTGGCCGGGCGCTCATCCTCCGTTGCACCAGTCCTGAAGAAGGGGCAAGAATGAATAGAGTAGAGATTAATAGAGGCCATATTACTGAATTCAATCGGGTTCAGCAGGGGTTGAACGTTCACGGTTTGGATAGTGACAATTTTACAATAGACCGGTCCTCTCATCATCTTCAACATCAACATCGAATCGAGTGTTGTGTTCTTGGACTGCCTGGTGTGCAGACTCTTTGGTGGATTCATTCTCCATCCACCGACGTGCAAGGGAGCGTAGGATGTACAGCTTGTCGTGTTTGGCCACAGTAACCTTCAGGCTCAACTCTGGGGTTGAGGTTGCATCTTGCCGCAGGGCCTTGACAAGTGGCTCGAAGTTGGGGAACTGTGGGAGGTTCAAGGCCCCAGTTCTGCAAGCCTCATACACCGCAGTGCCAAGCCGTTGCTGAAGCCCCTGAGGTGACATGTCCAAGGCCACAGAAGCGCAAAGGACATTGGTGCCACCTTCAGTTGCCGACTCCTCAGGTCAAATCTGAAGAAAACAGCAGATATCATGAAAACGACATGTCTTCAGAAGTCCTTGGACAAACAGCATTCAATATGACATCCACCTACTTCATTTAGGGTCATGCCCAAGTCACAGGAAAAGAAGCGATGTATTGCATGCATTGTTTTTTACTCAGACCAATAAACACACAGCATTTGTTCTCACCTAATTTGCCCAAGATACATACTTCCAACCATATAGTTCATAATGGCAAACTTGTGTTTGGAAGGTGCACACTAGGTTTCAAAGCAACCAACAAAACAACAACACTGCTATTGATACAAGTCCTCAAGGGCTGCCAGTGCTGGAAAGCTGTCATACGTCAGCATATCAACGAGCAACAATGTTTTCATCGTTGGCGTCTTGAATGCGTTCAGCGACTCCGTCACAATTTGGGTTCCTGCCGCAACCTTGCACAGTTCAGCCACACATGCATTTGGTTGAAAATATTCACCCTCCTTGTGTGTGTGATGCCTTCGCTTAGAGAGCGCCATTTTGTTGTTCAATAAGGGGTGTATACTAAGTGTCTTTTTTGCATGTGTATCTCAAGCTGCGCAGGTGGTTCTTTATGTTTCTTTGCTTGCATCTTTTTGTATCCCCTATATTGTGGCACCTACTCACCTGGCACAGGTTGAGGCCATGGAGGAAGGCTGGAGTACTCCACTGAACAAACATCCATCAACAACCAGGGGTCTTTCAATCAACATAGAACATGTAGTGCAGCCAGTCAACTTGGCGTAGTTCTTGCACATCTGTCAATGCCCTGCCCATGTCCGGGAGTCCAGCTTTTGATGGCGATGCCTTGCATCCATCAGGATTTGCAATGAACTCAGAACCTATGACACAGAACCTGAAAGTCAAGACACAGAACCTATGGCAAGAACACCTACTATGAAGCTGTGGGTGTGCAATATTCATTTACAGACTCTTTACCACATAATTCTGCAAAGATGCACCAGGTTTGTACATTGATGATCTCGGGCACATGTTGACTTGGTGTACCACTCCAAGTTTGTACCCTTTCGAAGCCAAGAAGGTGTTCTCCCGGTCATTGTGCACAATGGCCAGACCACTGATGGTTCCTTCACGGCGGCCATAGATGGTGTCCTTGGCTTTGGGCTATGGTGTGCTATCCAACAAGTGAGCCAAACAAGGCTGAAGAGTTTAGTTTGGCCTATGGCCAAACAAAACTCTTCAAACATTTATAGCAAAGTCTCAGGGTTGAAAACCCATGTGATATTCCTCACTCGCAAATTGCGCTCTTTGAGGGCCAGATCTTTCCTTAGACAGTGACTTTGCACACATATGAGGGACATTGAGGGACCAAAATGGACCAAACATGACCAAACGCATTGACCAACACAGCCATCCTTTCATTAGCAAGATTCTCAAGCTTGTACTTGATGTCTCTCAGATCAGACTCCTCATCTTTGAAAGCAGCTCGTGGTGCTGCTTCATTGCCATCGGAATCATCGCCCTCTTCTTTCTTTGTAGTGTCACCCCCACCTTCTTCTTGGTCAGACTCATTCTTGACATCATCTTCTTGTTTTTCCCTTTTCCTCACAAAACTACCCCTCTAAAAGACAATTGCTGCTAGTTAATGTTGCTGGCCGTTATTTTCTACATGGCCCTTGTTGTGTATCTCTGATGTTTCTAGATCCTCTATGTGGTAGATACGGTAGATACACTATAACTATATCGAACAACCAGCACAACCAGAGCAGATTTGGACACGGCAGTATGACTGCATAACATGTCTATCCCAACCCTGTCCTGTCCATCTGTGAAGCCCTGTTGGGATGTATCAGGAGGCATATCCCAGTCTTCCTGTATTTTGCAAGGAGCGTGGTCACTGAGGTAATGAGGTATTCGTAGCGGGAAACTCCAAGCAGGCCAGAGCTTGTCAGGTTCGCCCACAACACAACTCCATGGTCATCCCGGGATCGCACCTCCGGCAGCTCATGGAGCATCTCTTCTGACCAGGTGATCAAACTTGGCAACACAGTTGACTCAGCTTCAGCTGCTTTCCCATGGAAAATCCTCAAGTTGCTACCCAAATAGCTCTCCACAATCTCCCATGCGCGTGTATGAAGAGCCTTGCAAGGCGCTTCTTTTCTTTGCAGGTTATGATGATGAGGTTTGCAGTTTGCTTGCAGGTGGTTTCATGATTTCCATTAGTCACAAGGCAAGCACACCTCAAGTTGGCCCACCAACTTGCTTCTGCGTTTGGCTGACTCTTTTTCCGTCCTTAGTATATTGTACATAAGTGTTTCAACAAGTGTGCACCCACACATATACACATAGATGCTTATATGGCTCTCATCTGGCAGATTGGCCCAAGGCTTGAAGATTGGAATGAAGACATGTGGCTTCTGGATGCGCTGCGCTGAGAACCGACATGTGAAGCTTTGCTAATGCAGTTTAGGGTCATGATCTTTTGGGACTCAAAGAGCACTTGGTCAGCGCGGAGACTTTCAAGCCAAGCTGCAAATGCAGCTTGGAGGGATTTCTCTTGGGCATTTTTGCTCCTATCTTGGGCCGATGTAATGAAGTCTTCAACTGCTTGACCACGGACCTTCAAGGAAGTAGCATGGTGCATGCACTGAAGGTCCTATTAACTGATGGCCACAGTTTAGTATAACAAGGTTTGATGTTAGAAGAGTTCTTCCATCATCTATTCTCAAACCCCCTGCCTCCAAGATGAAAGGAATTCGGTTGACATCCAATGGCTCTGAGGTGCCAGACTTGATGACTCCTCCAAGATCACCATCGAGGCTCCTGAAGCGGACAAGGTGAGGCACAGGGACGGAATGCAGGTGAGATTCACAAAAGAATCGGTTTAGTAATCGGTTTATATAACAATAGTTTTAAAACTTTAGAGTAAACAAAAATAATCTATAAATATCAATATATCAATCACAATCACCACCCCAACTCACGTTGCAGATTGCGACGCCTTTTCCAGAAAACACATCACAAAACCATTGGTTTTGGAGCAACCAATCAACCCCACTAGCTTGACAAATGAATGTTGGAATCCTTCCATGCTGGATGCACATAAGAATTGTGACGGGTTTTCTGGAAAACCCATGAGACATGGACCAGGATTTCAAGAATGGGAATGTGATTGGTTGTCTTGGGTTTGGCACCGGCCAATTTTTTAAGAGAATTGTGACGGGTTTTCTGGAAAACCAATCACACTCACCCTAGAAAATTTGGCTGTAGCCAATCTCAAGCCCAGATCAATCACACCCCCTGGAAGATTTTTGGCCACAGCCAAATCAATTATGCCAAGATTCCCCTTCATGAAGAGTTCTTCATGCTGCAGAATGATGGGCTTGGCAAAGTCAACCTCCATGACCTCTTTGACATGTAGCCAAAGGAGGCAAACATCGTGAAGATGGCTTGCTGCATCTTCATCCAATTGTGCTGCTTTCTGCACAAGAAAGCCAGCCAAAATAAGTATGCAAAGAATTTCACACTGAGTGGCTAGATTGAACAAAGCAATTGAATGCAAAATGCATGTGCCTTTGCTTTTGTGCTGGAGTCATGGTTCACCTTGCGGTCAAAGTCCTGGAAGGCTAAAGCAAGACTACATTACTGCATCCTAATGTCCTGGCCCACATTCTTACCTCACTGTCACTGTCCTTGATCAGCCGGTGCATCCAAAGCAGGGCGGAGAAGCCAGTTGGACTCATGATCTGCTTCCACTGTGAATGACCACATTTCTCACTCCTTGTTGGAACTCCAGGGACCCAAAAGTCAGCTTGAAGTAGCTCCAATGGCACGCCTGGCAAATAGAAAAGTGCAACTTGCACAGTCAAAGCATTTCTTTCCGCAGTGCCTGAGTTGGCATGGGGATGCAAATCGTAATGCTGGTGCAAAGCCCTTGCAACCTCCAGCGGGGCCCTCATCCTTGGCCCCACTCATTCAAAAACATATGAGTTCAAGCAATGTGCACATAATGAATGATCATTAAACATGTTGATGCGTACAAGGTTCAAGTTGTAGATAAGCGCTTTCCTTTGCGTGTCTATCCTGTGTTTTTTGTTCTGGCAGAGCTTGTTGTACTCTGAGCAAACCTTGTTCACCAGATCCTTGAGTGCTTTGGATTGGTTTGGCTTGCTGAGTTGCTTCTCAAGCCGAACAGCATCGCTAATGGCTCCCAGGAAGTCAATGGCACTTGGGGCCTGCTTTTCTGCCGTGATGTGTCCCACTTCTTAGATGCAAGGAGGCAAAACACACAGAAGCTCAGGAAGACTTGAAGCTTGAATGAACAGATTCGAGGCTGCAGGATTTTGCAAACAAGGCGCTGGGACTGAGGAGGCTATGGTATGTCGGGCTCTCAGCATAGGTGTAGCTGCAGCGGATCCACCTGAATGATCTCAATAGCGATCGAACCTCTGGCCGGTTGAGCACGTCTTCAGTCCATTCCTTGGTCCAAGTGCAAATAAAAACACACGGAGCCAAGGTTGAGCCAAGCAAGGTGTTGAGCCAGGGTTCCAATTCATATATGAAGGTTACCACAGCTACCATGATGAGCACCTTGCAAAAGCCATCCACGTAGCCCACCGTACAGGGAAGGAGCTTGCGGTCTGCGGGCTGTCTCAGGAATTTGACACGGACTGCTTCATCGGGCTTGTAGCCGGTCAAGAATTCAGCAAAGTGTGCAGCAGCTTGGGCATTTTGTGGCCAATCTGGAGCAAGATGCAAAAACACACTAAGAGCTCTTGCAACAAAGTAAAAGACTTTCTGTGAAGAACTTGCCAACAGCTCTAAGTCCCCCACATCCATTTTTTGCCGATGGTTCCAAGCAAAATGCAGATAGTGGGAGCCAGAATTCATTCATATCAGCTTGTGGAATGAGCGAGATAGTCGGCCTGGGATCTGTGTCCATGAACCGATCGATGATAAGATCATCCACCACCTGCAGCACAGGGTTGGCGCATGGCACTCAAGTGGGGTTGAAGCAGACCACACAGGCCTTCTGTCTCAGCCGCACGTCCCCCAGTTTCTCTTGAATGTGCTCACCCAAGTTCCTTTGGCTGATCACCTTTGGGGTTGCACACAGCAAAAGCCTGAAGGTTGTTGCTGAGCCTTTTCTTATCATTGTCGGAAAACTGAGCCCTGAACTAAGTCAAAGTAAGCCTGCAGCTGGTCCAGGGGTTCCACATTCTCTCGTTTCACCCTTTCCATGGTCAGAAGGCCAACTGACCCTGTTCACTTGACCCAAATCTTACAAACAAGCTCAACCGATGCCAACTGACTTCAAAAACGTTAGCATTCCAATGCCTTTCATCAAATAAAGAATGGAAGATAGTGGAAGCACATTTTTCCACAAGTCTTTGTTCACCCCTGCATGCAAAGCTTTGTTGCTATGCATGCAACCCAGCAAAGGCTTGTACTTCTACTGGTGAAATACAACTTGTAGCTTGTGCGCCGTTCCTGGTGTTGGGGCTTCACCCAACGTCACAGCACTGAGGTTTTCTGTAGCCCTTGGCCCTGCCGCCACAAAAGCAAGCTGTGTGTAAGGCTTCCTGTTTGGTTGCTCAACCAAAAGGGACCTGTAGTACTTCACTACCCGCTCCATGTGAGGATAGTCCTTTTCCAGGGCTGTGGCCAGCGTCTGCACCTCAGCTGCTCGATCCTCATCAAAGGCATGGTGGAAGGTGGCATTGGTCCGGTTGACCTGTTCCCAAAACCTCATGGTGGAGTCTTTGAAGGCTTCTGGGTAAACAAGCAATGGCGGCTGCACCAGCTGTGCATCTGACATTGATCCCTTCACCAGGGCAAAGACATCAAAATGATCGCCTTCCCGGCGAAGCCTCTTTGGAGCCCGGTCATCCTTTTGCATCGTTGTCCCCTGCCCCGGCAAATCTGTCAGGGCCAGTGCAAAAATCAAAACCAAACCGTGGAAATTGCAACATAAAGTTAAGAGCGTCATCCCAGCCTTGTCGGCACATAAACGCAAAGCTTTGAGGGACGGCCATGTCCTTTTCTTCATCCGTAGATCGAGCCTTGTAAGCGTTCTTCATAGTAGCCGTTTGTGGCATAAGCTTGCACCAGTCCCTCACCTTGCTTAGTGGCAGGGGAGAGACATAGCTGAACAGTTGAGACCCATACTCACATCAAATGCAGTTGAGATGCAGTGTCCACATGTTCAATCTTGAAATCAAGACCAGATTTGGCCAGCAGTGGCTCCAATTTGTTTGTGAGGCACCTTGTAAGACATCAAAGGAGTGTGCAAGTCAGCGGCATGGTTTGCATTTTTTCACACGTCAAGTAAAGCTTAGTTATATATATATATAAGGCAAGGTTCCTCCGAAGGTCCTCTGGGGTTTGTAGGTCTGGACAGGCTTTGAGTGCTGCAGTGCAAATGGAGAAGAGTCCATCTAGGCAGGGGCCAGGAGTGTTAAGACCACAAACTGACAACACACATTGGCCTTAGAAAAGAACCCCAGCCCCAGCCTACATCTTCATGGGTGTGGCCCACCATCAAATGATGGTGGGCCACACCCTTGAAGTACCTTGCTTGTGTGAGAAGACAAGCCCATTTTCCAATGTAGGAGTTGCGGATCTCCTTGACGGTATTATCTCCCTGGAGCCAGTACCTCCGATTAGGTGTCCAGGTTGGAACCCCCAAACAATACAGGGATGGAGCTCATGCAAGTCACTGGGGCGAGGGCTCCTGAGGAAAAGCCTCGCCAGAGGCCCTTGCTTTTGCCCAAGCATGGTCCAGAGATCTCATGGCCTTGGACTCAAAACCGGAGTGGTTGGGATGGGTTGGGATGGGTTGGGATGAATTCAAGCCAGCAGCACATTCGATGGACCAATTTGATCCTCCAACCATCCCTTCATCCGACATGAAGAGGTAAACTCCACGCCCATGGAGGATACATGCAGTGAGCGTAAGGTGCACTCCTGAAATGCTGGAACGATTTTACTTAATGAGTGCTTCAAGCGTTTGTTTCAAAATGTTTCAACATGTTTCAACAGATTGAATTTAAACTGAGCAGTGCACTTCTTGTGTTTTCATATACTGCCCTTTTTGGACATCTTCTCATTGGCCAGGCTGGTAGGCTCAACTTTGCATGGTCGTAAGAGTCCAGGATGCAGACGCAAAGGTCACGTTGGATCTTTGCCCTCTCGCGTGCACACCAATAGACCTCTCGGTCTTTCCATGTTTGGCTGAAGTGATGAAGCAGCCTGTCGCTGATTTGAGCTGCAACGCGGAAGTCCTTACAGTAGCTGGTTTTCAGTAGTGGAACACAAACCACTTTAAAACACAGGCTCATACAGGCTCAGAATGCTGATGGGACAAGGCTCTGAGGTACCTTGCAATGCAGCCCTCATTCTTGAACAAGTAGAGCATTGTGCATGATGTGACTGTTGATGAAACTTCAAACACGGTTTCCAGCGGCGAGCAACTTTGAAGAATGTTGCCCTACATGCTGCACCACCATTGTGTTCATCAAGCTTTGTTCTCACAAACGCTTTGTAAAGGATGAACAGTTCACTCCAATTTCCATGAGGCAGCTCTCTCATCGGTAACCTTTCCGGGTCGAAGTTGTACATGAGCTGCATGCTAGGTGTCATCAAACGGCAGTCAATCAAACGCTCCAAGAGTTCCTGTCTCAAGCTTTCATCAGCCCGTTTCAGGGATGCTTTGGATGCAATCCTTAGGGAAGCCACTGTGGGATGGGTTGGTGTTGTCATGTCATGTCCATTGACACGGTCTGACCACAAGATCATCCAAGCAACTCTTTTGACATGGGCTCGCCAGCAGTCCAGTACATGTGGAGCATGAAGTTGTGAACTGAGGTCGTCTTTGTTGATCGAGATGCTGGTGGCCCTGAGCGCAGCGCATGATGGCCAAGTTTCAAGGCAAACATAAATAAGGAATGCTCACAAATAATTCAGCAAAGATACTACCAAAAGATCTCATATCTTTTCCATAGATGATGTTTTTGCACCTCCAAAGGCGTTTGACACCAATGGCCATCATGTGGCACCATGCCTCCTTGCAAACATGGTGTCCTGCAACTATTGGTCAGAAGGGTTAACCAATTGCTCAAAAGCAAGGGCAAAAAAAACAGTGTCCTTCAATGTACCAATCCTTTCTGTCTCCACCAGGATGTTCTCGCTGAATTGTCCACAAGACTGTGTCTTGGCTTCTTTTCCCCAAGAGCCAAAAGGCAATACAGACTCGTAGGAGCAAAGCAACCGGCATGGAGCAGGAACATTTGCAAATAGGGTTTGCAACTGCCTTTTGAACCCTCCGTTTTGAACATCCGTTTTTGGCATAGCGATCTATATGATTTTTCTTTTTGTTGGTAACTGCATGCATAGATTGCAGCCGTTGCAACGTAAGATCCACATAGCCTCCAGACCCTCCATCCTGTTCATCACTGGTATCAGGATCGGTTTCCCCCATTGAGTCATCATATGAAGAGTATGACTTCTCTGAGTCAGAGCCCGCAGACCTTGGTATCAGCAAGACACCATGTCTTCCAGGTGCACAGTGAACCACTTGAGAGAATTGGTGCAGGAAAGTTGCTGTTCACTTTCATCAGAATACTCAGAGGATGAGGTTGGATCATATCTTTTGCACACCAACATGCCAGTGGATGGCACTAGGGCATTTGCAGCAGCATCATAGCGCTCTAGGACCGGCAAAGCCAAAGTCAAAAAGAGTATACAGTATTTATGTGTGTTTTGAGATCTTTGTTTTAGCATCACTGTGCCTTGCTGCATGTTTCACCATAGCTAGAGTGAGAGAAGAGGACAAAACGCAAGATCAATTGACTTGACTGCAAGAAAAACGCTCATGGGTTCAAGGAGAAGAGGAGGGCAAAAGGTTAACACCCTTTTTTGTCAGGCTGCCATAGCATCAGGTACGGTGCTGCTAAGTGCAGCACAGATAGCGGCCATCACACATCGAATGTGCATTGAATTTCCTGCTAGCGATGCAAGAACCTTACTGGTAGGCAAGCAGCGACTCGAACCAAAAACAGTGTGGAATCATTCTAGTCTAGTGTCCAACCAAGTAGCTGACTCACTGACATTCATTTGCAAACGGTGGTACGGGAATCCCATCAAAATCAGAAGCTCCCTTCCAATAAGATACCGAGGATTGTCACCATTGAAGTTCAAAAACTTCCCATTGGGCCTTGGCTTTGGGCAAGGCAGTTCTTGGCTTACCAACTTTCACAACATGCACACTCAAGATCACTAATCTTGGAAGAGAACGTCAAGCAAGGGAGCAACTCGTCATCCTGCTTGGTGAGGAAAGGCATGCAATGCAAGCTCTGGGATGTGTTGGCAAAGGACAAGTCCTTGAAATAGCCCAATAGAGCCACAGCCTAGAAGCAAGGGAAAAAGCAAAACATATGCTGCAAAGAGAGCACTGAGTGACAGCATGTGATAGCATGCACCTCCATTTCTCGCCGTGTTGTGATGTATCTGCTTGCAGAGCACAGCTTCTTGAAGCGGGCAACGGCCTGACTGATCACCACCTGCCATTTGCATTCACGCATTTAAATTCCCACAGCACTCAAACACACTCAACGAGCATTCACAAACACAAACAGTGCAGCACATGCCTTGTTGGCCTTTGCATATTGTCTGTGGTGTTTGATCCATTTTGCATTCTTATCCACTGGCCTAAAAAAATGTGAAAGAAAGACAGGTCAAGCAAGTGACCCATGCTGCATTCAATCCAAGTCACTTCCAAGCGTTGCGAAGTCGTGCTGCCTCTTTCAGCCTGCACTGCTTTTGCAACTGCCTTGTGGTTA